AGTGTTTGGCACCTCCACAGTTTAGTAAGTTCACTGCACTTGTTTCTAAATAAATTTTGTAGAAACAGTGTGAAGTTCCTTGGTCATGGAGTTCTGTTGTAGGGATGCAAGGTTGTCAGAAAGTGGCTTGCATTACCTTTTATTGTTCCATGAGTTTTAGAGAATTTGCCTTGTACTCCCTGTTTACATCTTTAGGGTTAATTTATTTATCTGGCATGTTTTGGAGCTGATTTTGAAAGCTCTAGACAGGGAGAAGGAGGCAGGGCCAGCTGGAACAGAGCATACAGGAGGGGCCCTACCAAAGTGTCAATGCCTTGGAAGGCAAAAGCTCTCTGGTGCCAGATCTCTCAAATTTACTATATATAATGTAGTTATGGCCTCTCCTGGAAAGAATTGCTGCCTTCATGTCATCTGGGTGGAAAAAAACCCAAAGAGCATGTGTATGCTCTTCCTTGCACAATGCCCTTGCATCTATTATAAGGTACATCATGTTCAAGCAAAAAAGTCTGGTGTGGTCAAACCTGATGTCTGTTAATATCTTTATGCCTCTCAAAATTGTTATTTCCAACAGCCCCTACTGTAATTGTAGAGGAGGTGATTCTCATTTACATGCTCTACAGAAATAATAACAAAAAGCTGGTACAAAGTCACTCCAAGGAATGGAGGACTAGGAAAGAATAGTACGTAATATATAGCTCCTATGCCACAGCATGATGGAAGTGTGTGTGTATCCATCATATGGCATGAGCTTGAGCAGTTCATGGAGACGCCTTCCTGTACAACCTGACATGTGATGCAAGATGCTGGCTTCCTGGTCACATTGTAAGCTTTTTAGGTGATGATGGGGAGCATTAGGTGTGTAGTCCTGCAACGCATTCTTCAGAAGCTGTGAGCTCTGCTGAGGATTTTTTTCCCCTGCTGCTGTGCTGGGTTCTAAGTAGAAGTTCTTGGTAATCATTGAGTGAATAAATCAGGTCTGTGAGAAGAGTGATTAATGTTTTAAGGTTAAAGATTAGAGGGTTAGTCCTCATGGATGACTTAAGCATGGATCTTGTTTTATTTGGCCAGACCCTCTGTCTGCTGGAAAATACAAACATGCCTGTATACATGGTTTTTTAAAATTACTATGGGGCATTTGGTGTTGACCCTTGTATTTAGATGGCCTAGCATTTTCCATACAAAAATTGTGACCTTTTGCTAAGGACCTCTTAAACTTCCATTGTTTGCAGTAGACTGTTGACATTTGGTAGGGGAAGCACCACCAGAGAACAAAGTGCCTTTTTATGTTCCACTAAATTAGATTCAGCTTTGAAGGAGATACAAACTGTTAAAATGAACTAGTTCTTTTTTTCTGCTTTCATTCTTCAGGAAAATTCTGGCATGCTACCAGAAGAAAAAAAAAGCCTCCAGTGCTGCACCTGCTGTAGCCATTGCAACAGTGGGGACAAGAGCCATGGTGTTAGGAGCTGTCAGAGGAGCTGTGGCAATGGACACAGCAGAGTCTTGAAGAGCCCAGGACACATCCTCCTGCCTTGTGGCCATTCTGCTTTCTTCCAGGGAATGTCATAGAGCAGGAATCTCAACCCCAGCAAACTTCAGTTCAGCAGTTAGCCCCTTTTATCTCTGTTCCTTCTCTTCCAAGCAGGTCCTTCCCTCCTACTTCTTCAAACACCCACAACTCCTAGGTAGAAAAGAGATTAGGGCAGTATGCATGGGTGGATGTAGTCTGTTGCAGTAGGTGTCAAGCATGTGCTTGCTGCAACTGCAGGATTTGGTAATATTAATTCCGTCATCTAGGAGATGAGGTACCTCCATCATCTGCAGGGTAGGGTGGCAGTTCTGTCGCCTCTTACGGAGCTAGGTCAGACCACTTACATGGACTGTTACCATCAGCTTTTTGTCAGCCACAAGAAATGAAACACACAAGACAGAATTTCCAGTTGGTGTGGAAACCCTGCGTGGTGAGCTCAGCCAAATGGGGCTAGCAGGCAGTGCTAGCAAGAATACCTAAGGGTGGAGGCTCAGCTGGGTGTGGAGAAAGGGGAAGATGGCACAGCATAATTGTGCACCAGAAGCTGCATAGTTTGTTCTCTTTCAAGAAGATTCTAATGAGGTAGAAAATGGTGATGAGTCAGCAGTGTGTCCAGGAGGCCAAGAAAGCCAACAGCATCCTGGCCTGCATCAGGAATAGTGTGGCCAGCAGGAGCGGAGAAGTGACTGTGCTCCTGTACTGGGCACTGGTGAAGCAGCACCTCAAGTACTGTGTTCAGTTCTGAGCCCCTTGCTACAGGAAGGACACTGAGATGCTGGAATGAGTCCAAAGAACAGCAGCCAAGGTGGTGAAGGGAACAGGTCCTGTGAGGAGAGACTAAGGCAACTGGGATTGTTTAGTTTGGGGAAGGGGGAGCTGAGTGGAGACCTCATTGCTCTCTACAACTACAGGCCTCTTTTATCGAAAGAGTGGTCAGGGACTGGAACAGACTGCCCTGGGGAAGTGGTTGAATCACCATTTCTGAAGGTATTCAAGAAACATGTAGATGTGGCACTTCAGGCCATGCTCTAGTGGCCATGGTGAGTTTTGCGGGGTTGTGTATTGTTGGTTTTGTGGGGGGTTTTTTTGTGTTGTGTTTTTGTGGTTTCTCTCGCCCTGGGTGGGCTTGGTGATCCTAGAGGTCTTTTCCAACTGTGACAATTCTGTGATTCTCTAATTTTGGAATTTGCATTTATCAAGAGCCTGACTGTTTCAGTGTGTGTGGCAAGGCTAGGCAGCTGATCTTATCTGGCAGGGTCAAGTCCTGCTCTCAGGCAGGGCGTGCTGCTTCCTATTCCCTTTTACTTCTTGGAGCCCTAATGCTCAATTGACCTTGTAGACCACTTCAGATCAGTAAATCGTCAGAAGCTTTGTATTTATTTGCTCTGTTGGTTTATTTTTTTTGCAGGGTTAGTGAGCTTGTATCAGTTTATCTACAGGTATTACCCTACAGGTGGGGCCAGCTTTAGGAAGCTGGTGAGACCAGACAAGGGCTCAGGGACAGCTCTTCAGCACCCACCAAATCTGTTAGATTGGTTCAGCCCTGGTCACGTAGGAGCATTAAAATAGTCTACCAAGAAAGCAGTTGTGACTGATTTCTTTCATGGCAGTGCTGAAACCATACACAACAAAGACAAGAAGAAGTAATCAACAGCTAATCTCCTTTGTAGATAAGCTTACACCAAGTGTGGGATGGAAATAGAAAATGCATTCTAGCTGTGATTGGCGCAGCAGCGGTCATAAGTGAATCCAGCATGGATCAAGCCTAAGCTGTTGAGATGTTGAGGTTTCAAGGAAGATGCATGTTTACATTAGCATTATTCAAACTTCATGTAATGTGGGTTATTGTTGAATTCAATTGTTCTTGGGATGAATAGAAGATCAAGTATTGTCCTTAAACAATAGAACAGTAAAAACATCTGTGAACCAACATTTGTGAAAGAATACAACTATCTCCTTTTTAAGAATGGAGAATGGAAGCAGACAGAAACCATAGCTAAAATCGTTGGAAGTGCTTTGTTTGCTTAAATACAGTCTGGAATACTTGTTCAAGGGACTTAATAGCTTTTTATTGCTTTCCATATTCAGAGCTTCTCCTCAGTCATGATGGCTCACTGTTGTAAATGTTCTGTTTATAAATCTGGTCACAAGTCTTTCAAGCAGGGCACCTACAAAATGAGCATTTTACCCATTAAGGGCACGATGGGGAAGTGGAGAATGTCCCAGTGTGTGGAGCTTGTGTTCATCATCTTTCCTAACTGTGAAACCATCCTTTCTTTTCTTGTTGACCCTTCCTTCATCAGCTACCACTCTTAAATCTTCTGCAAGCAGTGAGATCAAAACCATGTTGACAGAAGCTTTTGTAAATAACGGGGTCAGAAAAATGCTCAGATGTAGCATTTGTTTGAGCACAATATGCATCTATAGAGTGAAGACTGCTCCATAAAACAAAACCTTAGACCTGTCTTCCTATAGAGCAGATCTCCAGTTTAGAAATGCAACATTGATGCTTCTAGAGGGGGCATTGTGAGGCTCACTTGAAATGGGGATTCTCTTCTCTACAGGCTACTGGTTTGAATCTGGTCATTTGAATAAAAATATTTTAATATGTTCCAAGGTGAAGGATGTGATCTCTATCTGGTTTCATAGAATGTGGTTAATATCCTTTCTAGCTTATAGCTTTTGTTTCCTGTTTTTGCTTTGCGCAAAGTAGGGATCTTTCTGAAAGCAGTTGTTGAAACAGTGCAGAGTAGTGGGTTCTGCTTTCCTTGGGGTCTGCAATCTTGGGCAGAGATCAGAATTTTATCTTAAGCGATATAATTGTATAGGTTATCGACAACCTGTTGTACGTCACAGGGTGAAGTTGAATGATCTTTTTTTTCTGAGGGGGGTTGGCCATTTTCTTGGTTTCTGAATCTGACATTGATTATTTTGAAGGCTTGGAGTTTCGGAAAGTAAGGGCCTGGTGGCAGGGGAAAGGAGATTTAGAATTTGGAATACATGAGGTGAGGAGTCCTATATGACTATCCTCTCCAGAGAAACCACAGTTAAGTTTCTCTTTGTGCTAGCCACTGCAGGAGGAAGATGAAACGCTGAACCTCATTAGAGAAATACTGTTAGATGTCTGAGATGAAATCATATAACCATGTCTTAGATAAAATATGAGAATAAGGGAAGAAAGAGTTGTTTAGATTAAAAGGGGGAAAAGAAAAGCCACCTCAAATCCCTGAAACTCTTCTGGAGAATGCTTTTCTTCCTTTAGACTTTTGTGAGACATCTCAGGGTCTGTGACCTAGCGGATCTGAATGTCCTGACCTGAGACAACTGGGTCAAATCACTCGGATTTTATGCCTTTGCATGTATACTAGAAATGGAAATATTGTCACCTCCCTTCTTGCACTAAGCCCCCAAAAGATAGGAAAAACAGATTGCCAAAAATAAATATTTTTTTCCTCTTGTCTCTCTGCAGCAATTCGGCAAAATCCTTGATGTAGAGATAATCTTTAATGAGCGTGGCTCGAAGGTAAGTCCTGTTTCTGTACCCACTCCTCTTCTTTTGATTGCAGAGCAGAAGGCAGTTCATTGCCTAGAGAATATACTCTGTCAAAATCAGCA